CTTTTTAATATTTTGTACTGTTATACACATAAAAAAAAAAAAAAAGAAAAAGAAAAAGAAAAGAGAGAGAATGTGAAAGGTTTCAGATTTTAAATTACATCCAAAGGGGCATTTCTTTTAACATTTTGAATGTTACCTTTATTTATTAAATATCATGTTCTTCGTACTTAAACTGTAAAATTCAGTTCAACAGCAATATCGCAAAATAATTTTAGAATGAGCATATTTTTAGAATTTCGTATACACAGTCTTGCGCGCTGGAGATAAAAATGTTTTTTCTGTACAACATTGCCACTGCTTGCTTTGAAATCCTTGAGTTTGTTAATAAAAAAAAAAAAAAAAAAAAAAAAAAAAAAAAAAAAATCATTTAAGTTTTACAAGATATGAAATCTATAAAAACAAATTCCAAATTAGGGCTACCAGATGCCCATATTCGGTGAAAGATTACATTATTCAAAATTTGATGGCTCTAGGTATGGTTGTTTTATCACAATGCGAGAAACATTTATGCAGATTCTTCATTATTTAATTTTTTTAAATATGATATAGGGCGATAGTTTTGGTGCCAACAATTTGAAAAGTGAATCAACACAAAATGCCAAAACAAAATTTATAGTCTTTCTGGGCAAATTGCCCCTATGAAGGTTACAGTGCTATGCTGATTCTGCAAAGAAAGTATGTTTCCTAACCCTAAGAAATATGCAACTTAGAATCTTATGAATGCGACGGTGACGAGAAGAAATAGACAGGGTATGGTAGTACCGTGTTTTGTAAAATAGAGAAATATATATAAGCAAAATACTTAATCATATAATGAAAACATTTTAAGCTCATTCCCAGTTTTGTATATAATGGAAAAAGAATTTAATGCTTTCCCTAAATTTATTTTGTCTTTAATAAAACTTATTTAACTTTTAAGTTTAATATAAGATTTATATTGATATTCCATTTGAAATTTTATTTGAAATTTTAGTTTATTCAATAATTTATATACACTTTGTGCATCATCTTGGCACATTAGAAGATTCAAGAATAAATATTTCATAGGAAAACCTTCTGCTCAATTATTGTTTCAAAACAATAGTTAATAAAAATATATTAATTTACTAGAAAAGGAGGTGATTTTAAAAGCTGCTTAGGTGGGGGGAAAGGCTTTATCAAATTACCTGTAAAATGTATTATATTGAACAAAATCGTTTTCATCCAGTAATTAGATAAAGGGTTGAAAATGTATTTTAACAAAATTTTGCCACAAAAGTTATTTGCTCCATTTCTTTGTATCTGTCTCCTATTTTAGGTATATTCTTCATTGGACATTTTGGTTCAGAATTAAAATGGGGTATTCCTTAACCATATAATTAGTCAACTTTTTCATGTAATTAAATAACATGCTTTGTTTGTACATTATATATTGAGAATCTCTTGTTTTAAAGCAATGCATTATTACTTTATTGATTTAAATTTAATGTACTAAATATTTTTGTTATTTTAATAAGGTCCTGATATGTTTTGGTTTAATAGTGATAAGTTTATACTTTAAATTTTCTGCATTTTTTTAAAAGTTTACTACTATTGAATCTGCACACACAAAATAGATTGAGAAATGCAGAAAAACATGATCATTAAATTTTAATACATTAATACTGTATGTGTTATACTGATATCTTCTTATCGCTTAATATCTGATAAATGTATATGCAATTATTACATGCAATAAATTCAAGTGAGTTGATACCAGTTGTTGTATTATGTATATATACATTTCTTGTTTCTGTAACTTTTCATGCAAGTTTTGTTTTTAATGAAAAATTCTGTGCAGTCAGTTATTTGTATTATTTTTTGCTTAAGATAAGCACAATTATGCAATTAGACATGTGAACCTTTCTATAATTGGAACTGCATTAAACATCTCAACAGTGTGTATGAAATATGTGTGCTGTGTAACCTGTGTTCTTAATATCAGTTCTTTTGTTTTCTAATATATTAATTGTTGCTCCAAGTGTATAGCATACAGTAATGTAGAAAGTCCATTCAGGATTTTAAAGGGAAAATACAAGGTTATGACTTGTGTTTAGATAATTACATGAGTGGGATATCCAAGTTTCAAATACCTAGTGGTGGTAAATTTTATAATATATTTGTATAGTTATGTAAATTGTAGATAACTTTTGTGCTGAATAAATTTCATTCTATATCTAATTTTTAGATGAGAATTTTATATGAAATGAATGATGTAGCATAGGGAAGTTTGCTATGTTTTAATGACTTCATTTAAATGAAGCTTTGAATTGAATATTTATATTAAAAAACTTAGAAGGGGTGTTTTTTCATATCTGACTAATTATGTGCTTTCCAAGTTGCTACCAAAAAGTATTTTTATCTGTAACAATGGAGTGAATGTAGATTTCAGTGTTATAATATTCTGTTATACATAATTTGACACTCTTTCAGCAATTAAGAAGAAATATAAGGTTATAGAACTCAGTATATTTTGGATGAGGCTAATTGCAAATTTAAAGAATTTGTTAATGGATTGTATTCTTTTTTAAAAAAATCATTAGCTTCTACATTTTTTTACATATCTAAAAAAGTCATTGATATGTAGACTTTGGCTTTCATAATATAAAAATTAGGGCTTCCAATTAATATAATTTTTTAATAACTGAATGCAGAGAAAGGTACCATTAATTTTTAGGAGTATATTTTCATTTAAATAAATTAATGGAAGTGCATATGATCGTTATTGAAGTATTAAGAAGTATCATTATGAAGTAGGGTTTTAAAAAAAGTATTTAAATTAAACCATTTATTTATATATTTATTTTTACTATTTATATGTAAGGGCTTTGTATAAAAGCAGGCTATGGAAATGTTACAGAATAATGCTTTAGCAATACTTGATTATTACATCATATGTATTTCATTGAATTATGTATGTTGTATGTGCCAGTAGAATTCTAACTGAGAATGGTTTAATTTTTTCCTGAAGATATGCAGCTAATATATATAATTTTTATAATTATTCATTGAAAATTTATGATATAATTCATCCTGATGCTTTGTTTATATACTTTATTCATTTCATAAAATGTTTTAAAGTTTTTGTAATTTCTTATTTTTATACATGATTTGCATACTTTTTTAAAAATTTGGATAATTATTTTTATCTATATATTCAAATAAAAGAAAGCAGCTTTTATCTGAAATAAGAAAAAAATGTATGTTGCTCCTTGTGATATAATTTTAAAATTACTCTAGTCTTTGTATCTGTATTTGTAGAGTTCTGTAAAACTTTTTATTTATTATTTTATTTTATAATAAAATGATGAATTATTTTGTATCTAGATGCAATGGCTAATAATTTTATTAACAGAACTTTTTAATAAAGTATATTCAAGGTAACTAATGAGGTATTTAGTTGATAATTTTATGAAGTTGTGATGATTTTAACATTTAGACATTCTTTCCTTGTAACATAATATATTAATTATTAAAATACATAAGTTAAAACTGCATATACAAAAAAGGCCATGTAAATAGGTGTATGGAGTTAATTTATCTGACTTTCTATTTTGCTGAACAAATATTGTTTTTTTTACTGTATACTTTGCCACTGTCGTGTTTTTGTTACTTGTAAAAACGTTTCTATTTCATGTATTTGCTTTTTTTGATATGATAGTGGACTGCTCTAAACCATTTTTTATCTATTCAATTGTTATTTTTTACCTTTAAAGTACATTTTATAGCCAAGAAAGTCAGTTAATTTGAGCAAATTCTTCAAATACATCAGGGAATCAAGTGTAAATATGTAAAATGGAATTGGAAGCCCTAGAAGGAAAGGATTTTTTATTTATTTTAATAATATCCAGGTTTTTAAACTTAATGGTGTTAGTAATTTTAATTCATTTCTTAGTGCTGAATGTTTTTTATATATAATTTGTGACAATCTTATGTTGTGAACTGAAAATTATGAAGTCATCATGTTTAATGAATATCCAGCCAGCTTATGTATAAATTTAGTTTTATTTTTTTCTTTCGTTAATTTGTGATTCTTGTTTGTAATGTAAAACGATTATCTCTTTCCTCTATATGTAAATGTTTGCAAGAAATGAAATAAAATTTGTGTTATCAAAGATACATTATTTATTTTATATCAAAAATAATAAACTTGCTGAATAGTGTACATTAATTATATAAAAAATATTTGATTTGCCAAAATGTTCTGTTTATATTTGGTAGCTATCTATAATGCATAATAATTTAACTTGATTGAACAACTGAATAAGGAACTGAATTAAGATAAGTCACTCGAATTAATGTCTTTTGAAATGACAATCAAATTAATGTACTCTGAAAATCATAAACACTTTCTGCCCTCAGCTTTATCAGAAATCAAGTGGATATATAGAGAAACAAACTCATCAAGCATGATAACATCTCTAACATGTTTCTATGTGATGTAATAGCAGTTTTGAATAAAAATAGTATTTCATTTTAATTTTTCATCTCAAAAATTAAGAATGTATTCAGAAATTAAAATGCAATTAATGTAAAGGGTATGTGCTGACATGAACTTTAATATTTGGTTTCGAATTTGTTTGGAACAAATTTCAGTTAAAAAAGAGGCTTTTGCATAATAAAGAATAAAAATGGACCTTTATTAGGGAAAAAAGATAATAAAAGTAATTAATAGTAATAATAATAATAATTAACATAAATATCTAACATGCACAGAGCAGGACATGAGATTAGAAGATATATTTTCATTACTCTTAACAGGTATGCTATTTTCAAGTTAATTTTCATTCATATTGCAGAGAGAAAATATCATTGTTTTTATGCATATATTATTATAATGCATTCTATTTTAATTATAAAATCAAAACAATTTAAGCGTGTTGTAGGAAGTTTTATGCATTAACACCAGATGTAATAAATATCCACTAGTTGTCAAGCTTGAAAAATTATGCAAAAAATATTCTCTGTTATTATTTCTATGATGATGTTTTTTTTTTTTTTTTTTTTTTTTTTGATGAATATAAAATTTTTGTGGCTGCACGGCTGCACTGCTTCAAAAAGATTTTATTTTAATGAGCTTGTTTGGAAATTTTTAGCATCTTCAACCGTTCTTTCAAACAGGCTTTTCGTTCTGGTGGTTTTTCAGCTACCTTCAAAGCTTTGTTAATACTTTCTGATAGCATTAACAACCGTAATGTATGTGAACTTTCAGTAGAATTTACTTTAACACCATTTGGAAGTGCTTGAGGCAGTGGGGGTGGATGCATCTCGATAGTTGAGTCAATTTCTTCATATAAAGTTAATCCATCGACACTTTCTTTGCGGTCTAAATTGTCATATACATGCTCACATAGGTCAAAAGTATCAGAATCTTGAAATGACCAGTCATTTACATTAATCTCTTTTGTGAAATCGTGCATAGCTTTGTTATTGCCTTGTTTGAAATTTTTGGGTGTGCACTCCAATGCTTTATCTGTGATAGGCTGACTTCCAGAACATTCTGATTCAATAACACCATAGCTTTGCATGGAGTTTTTGGAAGTACTATCCAGTTCTTTTAAATTGTCTATGATGAGTTGTCGTTCTTTATTTTTTCCTTTAAGGACACCATATAATGGAATATCACCCTCTAAAGTAAGTTCCTTTACATTTTGTAACCTGTCAAAATGCGAAAACTTTGTAATGTAAGCATATTCTTGTGCAATATTGGAGTAAATATGGTCTTTTGAATTAATAATTGGCTTTGAAACAATTGTTTTGTTTTCCAAAGGAGACTCCTTTGTGTTAATCAGTACCATTTGAATCCATTCTGTGGTCTCTTTGATGGTAGGACTGTAAAACTGCAAGATTTTGTAATTGCCATCTATCCTATAGAAATAAAAATTTGAGTTATATTTCTGTTGGATTTGTAGGCATACTGAAGTGTAAGTATTATTTGACGTACGATGGGCTATGCCGTAGTAAATCCATTGGTAAGGTTACATGCATTTATAGGTTTTTTTAACGAATTTTTGTCTGTAAAAGTCCCTAATTTCTGCCCCCAAACCGACAAAGGTTCTTATTTTACTCATCTGATATTTGTCTTTTTTTTTTTTTTTCTTTACTACTGTCAGTCTGAGTGTAAATTTTTGGCAATGCATTGATATGTATTTGATGGATTAACATTTGAATTCTTTTGAAATTATGCTGCGCTAAATTTGGCGATTTCATTATCAGTTTGTATACAGCATATTTTATTTGGAGATTTGTGAAATTTTGACTATTTTTGTTTTGCAAACATAATAACATTGATAAATATCATAAAAATAATAATATATTAAAATTATATGTAAGAAATAACATTAAAATATTTTTATTTTCCCCTACCATATTTTAAGGTGACATTATTTTCCATTTGGCGATTTGGGAGTATTCTGATTCTGAAAAATAAGCAAGACTATAAAACACAGTTTCCAGGCTAAAATTGTAATTTATCTTAAAAATTGAGAAACACCGGAGCCGGGCTTTGGCGCAATTTAAGCACTGCACCAAAATAAGGTTATTTTTATTTTTATTTTTTTGCTTAATTTTGAAAGTCTAGTCTTTGATTAAGACACAATAACACGCCGAATAAATACTGATTCAGAAGTCAAACAACAAAAATCAGCGTTAATTCACAAAAGTTAAATTTCTGCAAAATATGTGCAACTTTATAGCTAATTGATGGAAAGAAGGGAATGACAACAGAATTTTTATAATCTCCTAAAATAAGAGTGTGGCTTTTAGTGTGTTGAGATGAGAATTTTTTAACTGCTTGATTAATAATGTTGGGTGAAAAGCCCCTGTCAATAGCTATTGCTTTTGAATAATTTAGTTCTTCATCAAGGGCTAGTTTGGAGGAGCAAACTTGAAGAGCACGGAAAACATAGGAATAAAATGAAGCTAACTTTTGTTTAGTCGGATGACATGATTTAAAGTGTGTGGTGGAAGGCAAACCGATGAAGGTTTACGGTAAATCGTAGTACTGAAGTTGGAGGTGTTACGTGTGACCAAAATGTTCGAGAAACGGAAGAGAATTGCATAGTCCTCAAGTTCAAAAGTGAACTGAATAGCAGGATCAAGTAGAATTCATTGTTGAAAGAACTTTATTTAAATCATCTTTATTACATCTTCAAACAGAGTAAAAGTATTCGTCTACGTAGCGGAACCATGCCGGGAAGTTTAAAGTTTCAAACAATTTTGATTCATAATAATGCATGTAGATATCAGCCAGGATGGGACTGAGGGTGGCTTCCCATGGCTAATCCTCAGTTTGCTTGTAATACTTATTTTGGAAAACAAAATGCATTTGTTTCAAACAGAGTTGAGTGAGAGAAAATTAGCTCATCAATTTCGATGCAAGAGAAATGAAATTCGCGAAGTCTGGTTTCTAGACATCTTAATGCACCCTCCACTGGGACATTGGTGAATAATGATTTTACATCAAAAGAAACCATGAGTAAATTACGAGGAGAAATGTTTTTAACCTTTTTTACAAACTCTATTGAATTTTTTATGGTGTAAATGTTATTGTCTAATAGAGTGGAAAATCTAGAAACTAAATATTTAGCTAATGGATACGAGGCAGTACCTAAATTTGATACAATAGGGCGGAAAGGAATACCACTTTTATGAATTTTCGGAAGAGCATATAATCTGGCACAATTCGCAACAGATGGGATAAGCGAATGTTTTAAGTTGCTTGAAATGATTTGCGAAGATTTGATCGCAGTTTTTATTTTGGATAAGTCCGAAGGTGAAGGATCTTTAGGGATCGGATTATATGGTCCTTCGTTTAAGAGTTTAGTGACACCATCGATGTAGTGTTCTTATCCATGACGACTATCTGGCCACCTTTGTCGGCCTTTGAAATGACAATATCCGGGTTAGAATGAATCTCGCGCATTGTAGCTCTTTCTCGCAGTTAGATTTGGTTTCAAAGTTTATTATTGAATTTCACATTATGAGCGATAAGATGCCTAATCATTTCTTTCTGTGAATCTGAAACTTTACTGAACTTGAAAGCTTTTTCGATAGGAGCCAAAATCTTTGGAATCGAGGGTTTACAGGTTTGTGAGAAGTTAAAATTATATTTTAGAATTCTCTCTTGTTCTTCTGAAAGACTAACATTAGAAATATTAACTATTGGCTTGATGTTTACAATGGGAAGATTTTTTGAACTACTTGAACTGGAAGACTGTAAAAGAAGTTTTCGAATTTAACTGCAAGGGTGTTTTTATGACGGTTAATTGCATTCTCCGTTCTAGACCAAGACTTTTGTTCAAGGGCAGTGAATTTTGGATATGTTTTAGCGAGTTCCAGATGAAGCTTATAAGAGTTCATGTTCAATTTTGGACAATTGTTGACCGTGTATCCCTTATCACGGACCGAAGTAAGGCAAGTTTGCAATTTAACAGAATTCTTGAAACGCGACTCGAAGGTTTTTGATTAGATTTGATTTGAATAAAATTGGGGATCAATTTTTTACATTTTACATTTAAGTAAAAAGTCAAGATGATTCAGGAATTTTTGCCGTTTCAGGCGTAATTTAGTGAAACGATTAACGGATGAAGGCATGATAAACAATGCAGAAAATCAAACTAAATAACTGAGCAATAATAAGTACACACAAAATAGCAGAAAAATCCCTCACTGAAATTAATAGAAAACAAAATGTTTGTAAGCAAAATGCATGAAATCAGACAAGCAAAGCACAATATCCAAATGTACAAAACATAAACATAACTTGAAAATTGCAAAAATGTAACTCAACTCTGTTTGAAACAAACACATTTTGTTTTCCAAAATAAATATTACAAGCAAACTGAGGGATTAGCCATGGGAAGCCCCCTCAGTCCCATCCTGGCTGATATCTACATGCATTATTATGAATCAAAATTGTTTGAAACTTTAAACTTCCCGGCATGGTTCCGCTACGTAGACGATACTTTTACCCTGTTTGAAGGTAATAAGATGATTTTTTAAATAGAGTTCTCTTTCAACAATGAATTCTATTGATTCTGCTATTCAGTTCACTTTTTAACTTGAGACTTGCAATTCTCTTCCGTTTCTCGACATTCTGGTCACACGTAAACACATCCAACTTCAGTACTACAATTTACCGTAAACCTTCATCGGTTTGCCTTCCACCCACACTTTAAATCATGTCATCCGACTAAACAAAAGTTAGCTTCATTTTATTCCTATGTTTTCCGTGCTCTTCAAGTTTGCTCCTCCAAACTAGCCCCCTGATGAAGAACTAAATTATTCAAAAGCAATAGCTATTGACAGGGGCTTTTCACCCAACATTATTAATCAAGCAGTTAAAAAATTCTCATCTCAACACACTAAAAGCCACACTCTTATTTTAGGAGATTATAAAAAATTCTGTTGTCATTCCCTTCTTTCCATCAATTAGCTATAAAGTTGCACATATTTTGCAGAAAATTTAACTTTCGGGTTGTTTACTCTCCCATCAATAAAATTCCAACTTTCTATACTCAAGGACCCCATTCCGGATATGAATTTCCTGCGGTATTTATTTATAGGATCCTTGCCAGTGCGGTTTTAATTTACATTGGCCAAACTAAGAGAGCCTTAAAATTTCGCGTCAAAGAACATGAGGGCATATGTTAGAAAAAGGAAACACAGAAGTCTTCTGTTGCTCAACATTGTTGGTCCGAAAATCACACTTTCAAATGTTTCTGCTGCCAAAATTATTCAAAAAAAAACATCTCCATTGGAGAACTGGATTTTCTAGAGGCATTTCACATTCATAAAAATCTTTCTGTTCTAGTTAACGATCCTAATTCCAATCCAAATTTGCCTTCGGCTTTTAGAGAAATTATGTTTAGTTCTGGTTCGCCAACAAATGGCGCCACTTGCTTATTCTTGTCCAGGCTTTCTTATCTTATCTAAACATTATTTCCTATCTTGTTCATTTGCGGTTTTGCAGCTGAAGATGATGGTTCGGTAAAACCATCGAAACTAGTCCTGTGAAAATTTTGTGAATTAACGCTGATTTTTGTTGTTTGACTTCTGAATCAGTCTAGTTATTGGTTAACAAAATGCTTATGCTCATATGATACTTACGTTATAGTGTAAATATAGTCGTATAAAAGAGTGTACCAAAATAATGTTTACACACCTTGACCCTGAACAACAAACTATTAAAATGATTTGTTTCTATATTTTTGTATTTGAAGCTGTAATAGCATGTGTAATATATGGGAGCAAGTTCTCAGTTTTAATCCTTCATATATTAGTGTGTAATAGTGTGGATTTCAAGTACTTAGCTCAATGGTACTCACCCTTTTTTGGTGCTGGGGCACACAAGACAATTTCAGAAAGCGAAGCGGGCACATAAAATTTCCGTCTCGGGTAATATTCAAGCCATCCCTTGGCGATATTATCACGTTACTAGTTAACGCTAGTTCGTAAGAAAAAAAACGCACCCTTATAAAGAAGATCGAAAAAATGAATCGAGATAAAATTACAATATACATTTCATGCATAAAGTTTTTATTACTTACAATATAATTGTGTCTTGTCTGTTCATGGTGTTTCACTTAATGCGATTTTTGACACTGAATTTCGTCCACTAACACTAACATTGACGTTAGGTGCTTATGCTGAGGTTCTCGCACGCGAGCAATTGTCGAAATACGAATTAGTGAGCCTGCTCCGGTTCTTCGAATTGATAATGCTCATGGTTGGAAATAGGTATTTGCAGAGGAAGGTAGACTCAAAAACAAGATTTGATTTTATATGCAACACTTCTTAAGAATGGAAAGCTGTTCTTTTCTACAAGTTTCGAGAAGTCTCGAGAATGTGACATTAAAAAACAAAAATCTATTCTTTCTGCTATTATCTGCTTCTACTACTATTCAATATGTGTAAGAATTATTATGGGACACGCTGTACTGTAAATCTGAAATTTAAAATCATTTGGCAAGTTATAAAAATTACTTTTCTACATAATAAATGACAAGAGAAGTACTTACCAGCTAAAAACTAGGGTAAACACTCCAGCATTTTCTCCCACTTTTCTTAATAACTGAACATCTTGTATACTATTTGTTTGCCACTCGATTAAGGACACACCATTATGAGGATGTATAAGTTTGAGTATGGAACCATTAAATGCAAGCCTTCCATAGGCACCCAATAGTCCCATCGAAAAACTTTCTGCACTGTCCACAAGGGAAACTTCATGGCTGCTAGCTTTGGAAGCAAGAAAGAGAAATTATCAATCAGTATCAATTTTTATTAATGTTTACAATGTTCGTACGCTGCAGATTAATGGTCTTTTGATTTTTGAAAAATTTAAAAAGAATGAATTAACTTCTAAAAATGTTCAGGAGTTTGATTTCTAATCAGAAATGAGACCACTCTCTGGCATTTTAGTAATTTTTCTCCTTTATCCGTTTATAATTGCAATCATTAATCTATAAAAACATTTCAAGATTTAATGCTCTTTTCAGCAAATATGTTCAGAAGATTACAGTAGATTCAGCTTATCGAAGACATAATTGTTATATTAATTATCGAAGACTAATATTTCCGATCTAAAACTGTAAAAGTATTAATTCAATTGATTTATGAATTAAAGTAGAAAGAAATGTGTATTCAGCGATAATTTTTCCCTTTTCTTTTATTTAACTGTTTCCTCTTTAACTTCCTTTCCAGTACCAATATATTATGAAAGATATGGCCAAACTACGGTCGTTTGATCGTTTAACTGCGGCTCCCGAACGGTATATGTATTCTTTTGACCCCTTAAAGGCCAAATCCTTGCTACAAATTGTTTTATTTTTAAATAATGTAAAATATATTTTGAAATTGAAATCGTGATATGCGTCTTTAAGTCAGTAATTTTATTTTTTTAATTACAGAATATTTCTGATAATTTAAATGTTTTCAAACTGTAAGCCGTGCTGCGTTAATCATCGGAATAACAAACAAAAATGGTAAATAATTACTCTCATAGCCTTATTACTTTTAAAAAGCAAACGTTGTCTATCGGGACACTACAGAAGGCAAACACATAAGTCATAATGCATTATTTTTCCTTCCCAAATAAATTTTATTACGTGCAGTCTTAGACTCATGTAATCTCTGTACTTCTCCGCAGCTGCATTCCAAAGATTCGTTGTTCTTTACAGGTTACTGCTTTTATTCGATTCTCAGATGTCTTGGTAACAATTGAAGAAACATCTTTCGGAAATTGAAAAGTGCTGTCCGCGTAGAAACTATTTATATTTGAGAAAGAGTTTCAACTCTCGAGGATTCCTGTACAGGCTTCTAACGGGCGAGACAAAAATTTTTTAATCGCACTTGATAAGCAGACCTATCTAAGTCTTGAGATGTAAGGAAGTGAATTAGAAGTTAAAATGAATTGCTCTTACGCCCACAAACCAGTTTGTATAGTCATTAAATTTATCGATACAAGAGATGTGAAAAATTCGCAATGCTCTCGCCGGAATTCGAACTCCTTACCTTCCGATTACACTTCGGACGTGCTTCCAGTTTCACAACAAAGGCACGAGGAAACGAAGAAAATAACAAGGTAATTGTTTTGTATATTTTTCTGCATAATGTTTACTCGCAGTAACATGTTCTTAGCACATTTAACTCTTTCATGATAATTACCTGGTAATTCTAAGCAGATATCATCACTTACTTATGATTACGTACATCGGAAATTTTGGGGTTGCCAGGAGGATTGATCTCACCAGGTTGATATGAATTTCCTATTTGATTCAATGTTTCTGATCTATGTTTCGTTAGTAACAGATTTCGAGACACGAATCTTTCACTTCCTTCTTACCCCAGATGCCTGCAGACTCCATTTCAAGTATTCGTCGTTTCTAAACACCCTACTCGACAGAGGGAATGAACACTTGCTTTCACCTCAAATTTTAATCAACAAATGATGCAAATAGCTTATATTTCTGCTTATAAGACGAGGTGTACAAATTTTATTGTTTTAGCATGTATCTGTTCTATAAGACGACCCTCAGACTATCAACGGCCTATGAACTCAGTTTAAATCAGAGATGATCATTTGAAACAAATTATTATTATTATTATTATTATTTTTTTCATCTGACAGCACTGCCTATAAAAGCACGTGCCGAATCACGAATGTACCTCTAACAAGTTTCGTTGTAATCTATATCGTGTGTTCAAGCAACTTGCAATGCAATCAGAGTAAAATTTGTAAACTGGGGACCTAATCACGGAACCGATGAAAAGAAAGAAATGTGAAGCAAACTCAAGTTAAACGTTATAAGATATTTCTCCAGCTTTACTAGCGTGCCTTCGTGATGTAGTGTTCTGCACGGTGGGCCGGTATTCCAGAGGTCCGTGGTTCGATTCCCGCCGAAAGCGTTGCTCATTTTTCATCTTTCCTGCTTCCAAAAGTACATAATGTCTCTACAAAATCATAAAGCAGACTTAAAATGAAATAACTATTGTGCAGCAAGGGCTTTCGACGTAACAGAGAAGATAGAAAGAGACTAGAGAAAGAGTGAAGATGATGCTATTAAGAATGTCAATGAAAAAATGTTCTGTCAGGAGAGGAATACCGTGCTGGCCAGATTTAGAAAATAACGTTGCAGAATGGGTACAAAAGAACAGAGTCAGAATTTGCTATGTTGATACAAGAAATGTGATTAGAGCTATAGTGTGTGAGTTTTGGCTCGGTAAATGTACTTAGAAGACATGACTCCATATTGTTGAAACACAATTTATTAACACATCTATTTATTAACACAACTATTCATTAAAACAGAAAACATATACATAAATATTTGAACATCCTTACACTTGAGCTAAGGGCAATCTGGGAGAGTTCGTTGGTTGCGCTGGCAGTTATTACGAAAAGAACCTGACGTTATCAGCCGTAGCTAGAGTTTTCAGCGCTCGGGGACAACTGAAGACTTTGCCCCCCTTTCTGTGCCGAAAAATGGAAAACATTTCATTCTAAAATTTCGTAACATCAATTTGGCGCCCACTGGATGCTGCGCCCAGAGACAAATGTTCTCCTTGCCCCACTCTATCTACACCACTGTTGCTGAGAAAGCCGTGATGCACTTGATGTGACGGGAGAAAGTATCAGAATTTCCTGCAAGAGGTCTTGTCAGAATTGCTGGAGGATGTTACTGTTCCAGCGATTATTCGGCGTCGTATGTGTTCTACTATGATGAGCACCACCCCATTTATGACAGGATTGCAAGCAAGGAACTACCTGGATATAACCTTTTTGGTCAGATGAATTGGGCAAAGTGGTCAGATAAACCTAAGCTTTAGGATTATTCAACCTATTGTGTTTCAGTTTTTTTGGGGGGGGATTATGTAAAGAACCTTGTTTATGAAACGTTTGAATCTAATGAGAAACTCGTCGTCGGAATTTCTGTGTATACAGCAGCTATGTAACATGTTTCTAGTTTCTTAAGGAAGTCCATCAATCCCTCCATCGCCATTTTTTGTTGATGGTTATTACGTATTCAAGCAGTTATTGTAGTTATACGTCATTATAATTATTTTTCATCTTTTCTATTATTCCCTTGTTTGCTCTTCACTTTCTTGCCATCACAGGCCCTTTATGTTCCAACTTGTACCATGCATTTTACGTCAAAAATTTTAGTATGTTCTGCCACCTCGTAAAGTTAATCTTATCTTGTCTAAAACATCCTATATATAATCTGTGTGAAATACCCTGCCTTTAAAGGCGGAAAATCAGCTGCTTCGGATTTTATCTATGCGTCATTACAGAATTGTCTTTTACGCATGTTATTTTTCTAAAGCACATAACAAGAGATTATCACTTAGGGACATTTCCAGAGAATAATCCCATACCAAAAAGATAATTGCTTCATGGATAATTTTTGCTGTGCGTGGTTTGGAAGAATCTCACTTTTGTTCTGTCAACTAGTGTTAGCTATTTTTGATGCAGAGGAAGTTGTGCGCTTTCGAATTGTCGAATGAAGGTTTCGCCATCGTTTGCCCTTGAAACAAAAGTTTATAAGTTTGTAGTATACTATATCACCCATTTTCCATAATATGCAAAGTTTCTTGAGAAAGAGTGGAGGCTTTGCATCCAGTCAATGGGACTGTTTAGAGATGGTGTATTGGGCCCATTTCTCATTACACATCAGTATGAAATCTAGAAAAGATTCATTCTTATGATGAGCACAAGAAGAGTTTTGAGGTTGTTTGCCCGTATTAATTCTTGCAGTTCCCTTTTGCTCAACTTCCTCATCTTTCAAAGTTCTTCCAGATGCAAGTGGGTGGTTTCAGTAACTACGTTCAACAGGAGTAAACCGGGGTACTCAGCCGGCGGAAGTGACGTCACAGAAAAGGGGCGTGGGCAGTATCCAGAGAGGCCTGGAACCGGAAGTGACGACACTAGCGCCATATTGTATCACGTGATGGAATGACATCATCAAACTTTCGTTTTTATTCTGTGGCAACAATTTTATCTTTTCAAAGTTTTTATTTTTTGTGGCAACGAGCTCTGGAGAAACGTGTTTGGCATGACATGACTTTTAATTTATTATTTTTAATTATTTAACACGTGACTAATTATTTAATACGTCATAAATTTTTAATTACTTTCTCTTTTTTAATAAGCATTTTAATTATTTAGTACGTCATTATTTTAATTATTACCTTTAATTAATTTTCATGGAATTTAATATTATTTTCCCTGAATTTTAAAAATAACTCTACGAGCGGGATTCGAACCCGCCATCTCTAAGATGAAAGACCTGAACGTTACCACATGGCTACCCGGTCGACTTATCAGATTTGTTATTGAAACACTCTTTGTCCCTTTGACTCTTTTGTACCATTGATGTCATAAGGCTGAAAGTCTGCGCATGCGCTTTGACATGAAAACCGCGTCACACATTTGTTTTTACACGACGGGTAGGATTTCTTTTGGCTTCTTAATCATTACTTTATTCATTGCTGTTTTAAATGTAAGATTTGCTCACAGTTTAATTTTTTTATTATTAAGATATTTTTAATTGTTTTCATTTTTCATCTCATTCTTACAATTTTTAAAGTTATTAGTTAATTTATTAATTTTTTATTTCATTTTTTTTTTTTGTTTTTTTTTCCTTTCCCAATTATAAATTTTATTTTTAACTTTCGCAAATTGAAGTTTACTTCCACAAAAGTGAATTTAAATTTTCTTTTTACATTTTATCTTGCAA